TTTCTTCTTTCACCATTTATTACCCAGAACTTATCACGAACATCACTCATCTCTCCGGGCGCGAGATTTCTAGCGGGCTCCCACGGCTATACCATGTTGTAGGGGTGTCATGTTGTGTTATTTTCGCTTTTCAACAACATAAGCATTCTATATTCCGCACTGTGAGCGGCCAGCACGTTCTGTCTTCCATGTTGTCAGCAGCCGGCGCTGTGATCACTGCTGCGTCACTTGGTGGTCATGACCTTCGCCACAGATTTCCTTAACTTCACCATGTGTCACTGTCACCATCCCCATTGGTCAGGCCTGCCCAAAAAAGCAGAGTAGCGATTAGCTTTCTGTAGTCTTAGTTTCACAGCTCATCACCCCTCTTTGCTCCGCTCCTGTGCCCCCCCCCCCCCCTTTGGAAAAGATTGACAGACTGTTCTCATGAAACGCTTTTTTTCAGGACTGCCCAAAAATGTCACCAATACTCAAACTAGTGATGGTTGCGGACGAGACGTAGTTGAGAGAAGGGAGGAAAGGAAAAAGCTGAAGCCACGCTCGCGCACATAAAACAAAACAGAAACTATTGGTCAATGTCGCCTGCCACGAAAGAGAGGTGCACACTTTCGTGTCGGGCCTCAAACGAACAGGAGCTGCTTTTCCATGCATGGTGTGTATAGACGGCGAAGGAACACACATATCCTAACACCATGCAACCAATTCTCAAACCAGTGACGGTTACACAACACAAGTAGTTGACAGAGAGAAGAAAAGTAGTTGAACACTCGCTCCCGCAAACACGCGCTCAATGTCGCCAGTCACGATAGAGAGCTGCTCACTTTCACATCGCGCCTCGAATAAACGTGAGCCGGTTTTCCGCACCTTGTGCACAGACGTCGAAGGGAAAGGAACGCGTAGGCTAACACCCATAGAACATAGGACAGCCCGTGGAACTAGTCACGGCATGAATGAGAGCCGACACAAAATCTCGCGTCTAGCGAGATGCGGTGATTTTAGTTATACGCGCCTATTCCCCAGTGGAGCATAGGCCCTCAACCAACTTACGCCATACCGTCCTATCCTCGGCTATCGCACACAGCTCACTCCATGCCCTGTCAATCGTTTCTCTTCTCTGTGTGTTTATTGGTCTGTCTTTATGTCTTTGAACCTTTATGAAATATGTTGTTAAATTGTTGCCATGTTTTCTGTTTAACTCCAAAGTCTTTTCTTTATCTCCCATAGACTGGAATTTGTTTAGTTCTCTCCCAGATTGCCAAACTTGCGGTTCTGTCAAACCATTTAAGTCTTGCTATGTTCTATTCTGCTGCGCAGGCACCAGTTAATAAATGTTTGTAGCTTAATAGTAATTGTTTTAGTTGTTCTACGTGTTTCCACTGCATCTATTTGAACCTAAACCTATCTCCAGTCGTCTTGACTCTGTCTTGCCACTGGACCCAGATATAACTTTTCGGGTCCGCATCGGCCTCATCAGTCATCTTCATATTCATACTTGATGAAAAAGAGTGGTCATCATCATCTTGATAGACAACACACAGACACACACATCTATTTGAAGAAAAACTCAGAAAACAGGATGCGGGGGCAAGTATTGCGTCAGTTCTAATTAATCACCTCCAGAATGTCCGGGGCATTACTTTTACTAAAGTGATAACCTAAATGGGAGGTGACTGCTGTCGAGCTGATTGCGAGAAATGCTAAATATAACACAAAAGGTGACTAGAAAGCTTATTGCAGGGATTGAAAAAGACGCACACAATCACGACCGAACTGTGTTATGTGGCTATCCGGCCTCTACTACGATATAAAGATGTGTGCAAGCGGAACATGAATGATACAGGTATTGAGGTGGACTTGTGCGAACAAAATGCCAAAGACCTTGTTGTGCGGGTGGGAATGAGAATACAGGAAAAAAAAAAATTAATCATTGCAGAAAGGATAAAAGCTGAGCGTCTGAGGGAAAAAAAAAAAAAAAAACAGACTAAACACAAATGTTGACAACAACGGTACTGAAATCTCAGGCTTGATTTGTGGAAGACTTTTCTTAACGCCGGCGAGTCTTCCTAGTCACACTCGCCATCGCCATGGGCTGTGAGTCCTATGCCTCCCCACAGAGAAATATAACACTATCATCTGGACAGACGGAAAAGTGCCAATCAATTAGTTAATCAGTTAGTTCCACGATAATCTCCACAGCCGAACTAGGTCACGTTTGATTTATAATTTTTTTTTAGTAGACTCATTTGCTGTCCGGGGGGTTACGGCTCTGATGTTTCCTTTCTGACTCGTCTTGCATTTACGTTTTTATTCCGAGAAATATAATGCCTGTGACATAGGTTGCAGCACTATCTAGGGGAGTTGTGTGTTAGACCCAGTTTCTAAATGTTTTGTAGTGTTAAAATCGCTGGCGTGCTTAAATATACAACACGCGATATCAGCGGCATTGCCGACCCCCCCCCCCCCCCCCACCAGCAGTGTGCGAAGGTCAAGTGACTGGAGGTCGACCAATTAGAAGTGAGCTAGTGTTCTTCTTCTTCGCGTTCACCAGCTGTACACTCTGGCGGAAAGTTCTGGCTGCTCGTCCATTACTGAACTGCAGTCCTGCTCCAGAACCTGAGTGTTGCGTGTGCATCAGTTTTACAGATCTCATTCTCTTGAATACAGACTGTTGGTTCCTTGCCTCTCCGGCAGATGCACTCCGACTTCAAAGGAGGGTGTAACGTGGGGAGATTATCGTGGAACTGGCCAGTTAATCAAACAATCGGTAAGGCTATGCGGTTAAATAGGGATTTTCGAAATATGAACCTGTTTGATTCTCATCCGTGAGATGTTTGTCCTACAGACTATAACCCTAGAGTGGAAACAAATTTTAAAAAAAGTATAGGCCCTCCTGTTCATTGATGTTTCTATTTTAAAAAAAAAATCTCTCTCTCTCTCTCTCTCTCTCTCTCTCTCTCTCTCTCTCTCTCTCTCTCTCTCTCTCTCTCTCTCTCTCTCTCTCTCTCTGGCCTCTTTAAAATTTACCAACGTTATATTTCAAAGAACAGGTTGCTCAGAGTTCAAGAACCCCGCACTGCTGAAAGGTCTTTATGTATAGTTGTCCCTGCGTTGCTAGCTTCACTCCGAGACCTCCTCACTTTACAGTGATTGGTGTGGCCTTGAGAAATGTAGCGCGGTAGAGAATTTTTTTTATCCGCGCTCCTGTTACAGGTGGTGACATAGTCATCAGGCGAGCGCGCGCGTGCGCGTGCGAGAGAGAGAGAGAGAGAGAGAGAGAGAGAGAGAGAGAGAGAGAGAGAGAGAGAGAGAGAGAGAGAGAGAGAGAGAGAGAGAGAGAGTTATGTATTCTTAGATATGAAAATGAAAAACGAGCAGCAGCTGGCCGAGAGGTTAAAACGTCGGGCTCTCATGCATGGGACCCGAGTTCGACCCCCGGTAAGGTGATGGAGTTTTTCAGTTAGGGGGATAATTAAATATCATAATTTGCACAGTTCGTGGCAACAGCACTAGCCCGGCAGCCTTAAAGCCTCCCCCCCCCCTACCCCAAGTCTACACAGCCCTAAAAAGTTGTAAAGTAGAGGTTAGTGACATATAAGTGATTTCAAGAGGAGAGAGGCTGTGCGATTTTCCGTATTTTTTATATATTTGTGAAGAAAAAGGGGGTGGGGTGGGGGGGGGGGGGGGGGAGATGTCCAGTATGGAAGAGACACTGCCTTGAACGTGGGGAGAAAGAGAGACGACGAATAAACTGTATTTTCAAAGGATTACAAATTGGGCACGCAGGCCCATCTTTAATTTGGCTGTTCCAAGCACTCATATTTCAGACCACAGCTGCTTGTTATCATTAATGCATGTCATGTTTATATACAAATAGACATAATGAAATAATGAATACACACATGCTCCGAATATACACGTACATATACACTCTTATATGCCCAAACGTACACAGATAAAGGCACAACCATACAGACAGACAGACAGACAGACAGACAGACAGACAGACAGACAGACAGACAGACAGACAGACAGACAGACAGACAGACAGACAGACAGACAGACAGACAGACAGACAGACAGACAGACGACACAGACAGACAGACACAGACAGACAGACACAGACAGACAGACAGACAGACAGACAGACAGACAGACAGACAGACAGACACAGACAGACAGACAGCCAGACACAGACAGACACAGACAGACAGACACAGACAGACAGACAGACAGACAGACAGACAGACACAGACAGACAGACAGACAGACAGACAGACAGACAGACAGACAGACAGACACAGACAGACAGAGACAGACAGACACAGACAGACAGACACAGACAGACAGACACAGACAGACAGACACAGACAGACACAGACAGACAGACACAGACAGACAGACACAGACAGACAGACACAGACAGACAGAGACAGACAGACAGACAGACAGACAGACAGACAGACAGACAGACAGACAGAGACAGACAGACAGACAGACAGACAGACACAGACAGACACAGACAGACACAGACAGACACAGACAGACAGACACAGACAGACAGACACAGACAGACAGACACAGACAGACAGACAGACAGACAGACACAGACAGACAGACAGAGACAGACAGACAGACACAGACAGACAGACAGACACAGACAGACTGACAGACACAGACAGACAGACAGACACAGACAGACAGACACAGACAGACAGACACAGACAGACAGACAGACACAGACAGACAGACACACACAGACACACACAGACACACAGACACACACAGACACACACACACACACACACACACGCACATGCATACATTCTGAGAGAGAGAGGTGATTGACTGGGGGGGGGGGTGGGGTGGGGGGGGGGGGGTCTTTTGAGCTGAGAGATGAAATTGAGAAGACGAAACGAGTTGAGTAGAATTTGAATACTCGCTGTGTGTAACTTTCTGATTTCAGTTATAATATACTATTTTTTTTGGGTGAGAATTTGTAGAGGGCGGTAAGAAGATTGGAAGCAAGATGGGTGTCCAGGAGATTCCTTGCCGTGTTTGTTCAGCTCCTTCTTCAGGATTTCACTTTGGTGCCCTGACATGTGAGGGGTGTAAGGTCAGTGACAGTTTTATAAGACCTATGTGAGGGAAGTCAGTGATATTTTTATACGATCTATGTTATGTGTGAGGGATGTAAGGTCAGTGATACAGTTTTATAAAGACATATGTTACAGGTGTGGGGTGTAAGGTCAGTGTCAGTTTTATAACATTTACGTGAGGGAAGCCAGGTCAGTGATAGTTTAATATGATTTATGTTATATGTAAGGGATGTAAGATCAGTGATACAGTTTTACAAAGACCTATGTTACAGGTGAGGGGTGTGAGGTCAGTGACAGTTTTAATACATTTATGTGAGGGAAGCCAGGTCAGGGGTAAGGGGTGTAAGGTCAGTGATACTTTTATGAGATCTATGTTACATGTGAGTGATAAAAGGTCAGTGATACTTTTATTAGTTAGGTGGTATGTGTGATATGTGAGGGATATTTGTCAGTAATACTTAAAAAAAAAGACGCATGTTAAGTGTGAGGGATATAAGGTCAGTGATATTTTTATAAGATCTATGTAATTTGTGAGGGATATAAGGTCAGTTTTATTTTTATAAGATCTATGTAATGTGTGAGGGGTATAAGGTCAGTGATATTTTTATAAGATCTATGTAATGTGTGAGGGGTATAAGGTCAGTGATATTTTTATAAGATCTATGTAATGTGTGAGGGGTGTATTGTCAATGGTAATGTTATAGGGGTGAGAGAGAAAGAGAAGCTGTAATTATTGCCTATAAACTAGACTGTTCAATAAATAAACTTTCAGGGTTTCTTTAGAAGAATGGTCAAGGAAAGAGATTCATACTCTTACAAATGTGGCCGAAATGGACACTGTGAGATCAATGCAACGACACGTAACATGTGTAAGGCCTGTCGCTACAATAAGTGTCTACAAATCGGGATGTCTGTTGAAGGTATTTAAACATCTTGTTTGTAATTGCTCATTGTTGTTTCATAATTTCCCTGCCTGGGTTTCAGGGCATATTAGAAAAAGGGGCGGCGGGGAATAAATAACCCCTTAACAAGCATGTCATAAAAGTCTGCTGAAATAGCACAACATACTAATCACCCTTTTTGAACGCAGAAGAGAAAAGCGAAAATTTCATAATCAACTACAATAGAGACTGTTCAAAAGAAGTTTAAAAAAGGCTCATCAAAGCAATGCAGAGATTAAGCAGCATTAAGAGCCTGAAACAGAATACCATAAAACAATTGGAAGTAAATATTTTGATAATATACATTTTTATGGTGGCAACAAGTGGTTATAAATCATGGATCAATTCACGATTATTAAAGAAGAATATGACATTTTTGTTTTGACTTTAATGTTGCAGAAAACTTCTTAAAATACTGTGGATAAAAAAATAAACATTCTGCATGGTCTGAAAACTGAAGGAAACTGCTTTGCAAACAGCATAATATCTCCATCCATCCATCATGTAGCAGGTCCTTTACAGAACGTCGCTCTCATCACAGTCTGCCTGTAAGAAACTCGGTCTCTTGCCAGTTCTCCCGCCTTATGAACTTTCATACTCAAGGAGTCACTTATATCCTGTACCCATCTTCGTGTCGGTCGGCCCCTGCCTCTCCTTCCTGGTACCATGCCTTCTGCTATAATTGTTTCCAATCCGTCGTGGCGCTTGATATGACCAAAATATTTCAGCTTTCGAGAAAGGATGCTGTTTATTAGCCAATCTTCCTTGACATAATATCTCAGAAAGTGAAATATGTTATCTGTATTAAATGTCATTAGGCTTAAAAAGTTCAGTTTTAGAATACTTAGTTCTTCTCTGTGGACTCTGGAACCCCATTGGGCTGGTGCCTAAAAAAAAAAAGCCTGTTTTACAATGGGACTAATTTGGGCAGTTTCCTTTGAAGCTAGAGTGTATCTACCTGGGAGGTGAGGAACCAGCAGTTTGCATACAAAAAAGTCAGATGTGTAAAATGGATGTCCACACCAGACTCAAGTCTTGGAAAAAGACCAAAGCCTAGAAGTGGGTGAACAACCAAAACTTTTCCACCAGAGTATACAGCAGTGAGAACCAAAAAGAAGAAAAAGGTTTGGTTCCTGGAAGAAGAGGCATGAAGATGGGCATCAGACATCAAAGACATCTTTAGTATGGAACAAATCACGCAGGGGAATTGACAAGAGACTGAGCTGGAAGGAACATTCTGCACAAGACTGACACATGATGATGATGATACTCTTTCATATTAACTCTGAAATTTAAAAATGAGTAAAACTAAATTAATTTAGTAGTCTAGTGATTATTTTACTTTCATGGGTTAACTGAAGCAACTATTCAGGCTTCATTATGATCTGATTCCCTAACAAAAACCTTATTTTAACACACCAGGTACACCACATTTGTTTAATGAAAGATTATTTACAACTATGTATAAAGTGTCAGTATAAGGGTTTACCACAGTAAATCAGTAGTTACACTTGTCATCAACAGGAAGCCGAATAGGTCGACAACCAAACGCCGTGAGGCATGCTATATCCGTAGAAGCCAAAAAGCAAACAGCACTCAAGATTGAACCAGGCAGTGTTACGCAGCCTACAGATTCAAGCCAATCTCATCTTAGTATTGATTCATTTGCTCCTGACCCTTCCGAACATGAGGAACTGAATGATGATCACCAGCCAGTTTCAATGATCCAGGTTTCATCATCTGTTGATGCTGGCAAGACTGTATTCAAGGAGATGAATGCAGTGAAACCGTATCCACTTTTGTCCTCTCAAGAAAATCATTTGCTGAGTAGAGCAGAGCAGCATAATTTATTAGAAGTTTCCATGCCTCATTCTGACATTATAAAATATCCTGTGCCATCTCATGAGTTTCATAACCATACTCACAATGTCTGCTCTTCAACTTCCATCCTGTCTTCCTTGTCAGTAAATGCATCATCTGGTATAAACCCAGAGATGTCTGAAAGATTTCAAAATCAGACATGCGAATTAATACCTGGTGATGAGGCTGAAGATTTGAGTATAGATCTGTCAAGCCTTCGGACATCAAATACTGGCCACATACACCCTCCAGATACTACACTTACCTCTAAAACTGTGGATCTTTCTTCATCATCAGTATATACTTCTTCCACACCACCAACTGGGTCTATGTGTCTTCTTTCTCCTTCTCTATGCCAACCTGTTTCTCCGCATTATCATCCAGTAGAGTACACTTATAGAGACCAACAGAATTCAGCTTGTACTTATTTCAGTAATGACTTTGTAAATCAAAATCGGAATTATAAGTTAAGTTATCAACACACAGAAAAATATGATTCACTTAACACATGCTACTCTGATACTCAGAAGGAGGAAGATATGTCCCAGCAAGAAACATTTCTCAGTATGTTGTATACCCATAATGCTGAGGCTGAGATATTAAGAAGCAGTTTTTCTACACCATTTTGTCATAGTAACAGATCACCAAATGCCATCCCAAATGAACATCAAATGTCCCAGATACATCCACTTGGATCTTCACCACTACACCACCCACAGATTTGGCCTTTCAGGCATAACCCAGAAGGTATTCATGCAGTGGAATGTGCTTCACAAATAAATAAAGCTGATAGAAACTTGGATCATTTAAATGTTAATTCCTTCCCTGACAGACATTGCTCATCACCTCAACCACATCGTCTGAATTTGTCACAGTACCTGGCACCCTGCCAGCCTAATAGGTTGTTACCACTGTATGCTCCACCTCATTCCCTGCCACAGTATGTAGCAAGTCCAGAAGCTTCATACCCATATGATGAATCAAGATACTCACCAGCAGCTTCATCTCAGAGCACTAACATTTCAGAGCCTTTGAACACTTCAACTGTTACGGTCACAGACACCAGAAACCAGTATGAACTGACTGTGCCCACTGAAGAATTACATGTTATACTTTTGGACGCAGCTAGGAACTTAGCTCACTTTTGTGCTGTTGTAAGTGTGGTCTCACATTTCTGTTTGTTATTCGTTAGCAGTCATCATAATTATAATCAACATTATCATTATCAAGTGCCTCGCTGACTGCAGTGGGTGATCAGTACCATATAACTCACCTTACGTTCATTTGTTGGTACAGAGACAGTGCATATTTCTGTCTCTTGTTTTATCACATATCATCATCATCATCATGTAGCAGGTAGAAAGTCGTTCTGATCACAGATTGCCTGTTAGAAACTTGGTCTCTCACCAGATCTCCAGCCTTGTGCATTTTCCTACCCAAGGTGTCACTTATATCCTGTGCCCACCTTAATGCTGGTCGGCCTGTGCCCCTTTTTCCTGTCACCATGCTTTCTGCACTTTTCCTTTTCAGTCTCCCGTGGTGCTTGATGTGGTCAAAATATTTCACTTTCTGTGAAAAAATACTGTTTACTAGACCATCTGCCTTGATGTTGAGATATTTTAGGATTCCTGTATTTCTCTTCTCTTGGTTCATGGTATTTTGAGAATCTATAACATTTCAGTTAAAAAAAACTGTGTTCTTCCTTCATTTTTGTGTGTGGCTTCCTTGATAAGTTTCTTGGTACAGTAATGTACTTTTCCACATCCACATGGCTTTAGATTATGTCCTCAGCATCTGGCAATCTTTTACATTGCCAGGGAAAGTGGGTGCTCTGCTCTATGATACTTCTGTATTTTATATAGTTATTACATTTACCTTTACAAGTCATCAAAGAAGAACAAATGAAGTGGTTTGGACACTTAACAAGAGTGCTCTGGTACTGTCTGCCACAGTGAGCCACACTAAAACATTACAACAGGTATAGAGTGGAAGACCTCAGAAAAAATATGGAATGATGGCATTAAGAACAGCCTTACAGAAATGAACATCAGTCTTAATAGTGCTCTTGACAGAGCTCATCCACGAATGTTACATCTCCCCCCGACACTTCGCTGAGGTACAAGGTGGAAGAGAAGGAGAAGAAGAAGTTACATTAACCTGTTAATCTGAATAACTTCCCATAGCATTATTATTTTGATTTTGACTCAAAAACATTAAACTAGAGAAAGATCTGCATACCAAAGTGGTCAAGCGACATTCCTCTAAAGGTTGAGGTTTCACGTGTCATTCAGTTCACTGGTGCAGTTTTTACAGAGATCCCTGGGGTTTCTCACTCCAGCTGCAGAGTTTGGTTCTTTGTGTGATGCTTTTAGCAGGTGGCTAACCATTCTACAGATAGGGAATAAAAGCTATACAGGATGACCAGGTGCAATGAAGTCAAACTCTCGACTTTAACTTTAACATGAAAACTTCTCAGGATCTGAGGAGTTAAAATAATTAAAGACTGGTAATTAAGAGTTAATATATACCCAACATATAATATTGTCATGTGAAGATATCAACACTGAAATAACGCTTGAAATAACGCTTGCTGTGTATCCAGAAAGATTTAAAGATGTGGACTCAACCTGGGAAAAGATGATGGAACATTTTAACTTTCTTTCCCAAAGAATTGTACCGTTTGCAAAATCCAGGTGTTACGTTTGGTAGTTTAACATTTTAGAAACTACTTTTAATAATATTTTAATACATGTCATAATTCAGTTGAAAACAATATTCAAAGATAGTGTTATTTCTGTGTGTTACAAATCAATCTAATCAACAGAAACGTGGGAAAAACAGTGGTACCAAGAGCTGACTTTTAGAACATTTTCATTTCATTTAGCATGCCCTCGGTCGTGCCATAACAACCCTCCCGAAAACGCTTTGCAAGATGTCCTGCGTCTGTTGCCACATCCTAATTTCTCCTTGGCCTTCCTTAATTTGGTACCCCTCCATTATTGTTCTCTCTAACTTTTTGACCAAAACTACTTCTTAATAATATTTTCAATACATGTCCGCTTGTTTAGTAATTCTCACAGGCGAAAACAAATATGCATGCTCAAAGACCTAGTGTTATTCTATCTGTACAATTCCATGTGTGTTTTAGTCAAGAGCAATTGATAGTCGCCGTTTAATCAGCAGAACCAGTCTTGCGTTTTCGAAATTTCATCAGTCTTACCTCAAACATATATTTCCTTTTCCATGGCAGTTTTGAAGTATGCAAAGGTAAACTAGTGAAGGTTAATTTTGCCCAGAAAAACAACAACAGTCCTGACACAGAATGAAACAACTTCATCAGCCAGGACTGCCTAAGAGACATGATGTGTTAACAAATGAAAATAATCCCTGTAATAATACTTCAAATTTGGAAAAGTGTATTATCAAGTATGGTAGAATTAAACAAAGAAGATGTTACCTTTGTTTAATTTTACTATATTTTCTAATATACCCTTTAATAATTATGCAGTAAAGCCATTAGGTCGGGTTTCATTTTATCACACCTTTTAGCTTTGGCTGGATGTATGCCTTTGGGGCTAATGCTCATTCAGCATATACTTGGCCTTCTTGAAGGATATATGTCTGATTTACTGATTTAAGAATTGACATCATAGCACACCAAGGATACCCATAGATGCTCCGTCTCCCGCAGCAAATGACGTAAAGTGTAGATGCTAACTGTTCCCGTAGCACACTGATTATACACACACCGATCTCTTCCTCTCATCCGTCCCTCCTTGCCGGATCCACACTTAATTCCTCGTTCACACATTCTTGCTTGTGTTATTTTATCTAATCTCGTGTCTTCTGCCAAAATTCGTTCATAAATGGTCTTCAGAAAATCTTCCTTGTCCAAAACAAGTTTTTCCGTAGCTTTCGTTTTTGTAGTAAAAAAATCCACTCTTTCATTCCCTTTACTCCTGCATGTCCTGGACAGTATATCCACGTGATTCCCTGCAATGTTGGCGTACTGATGCTTAGTATCCACTCATGCCACATTAGTCCATTTCAACCTTCCGCAGTGCCGACTGAGAATCAGACACATTAATTCCTCGAAGGATATGTATCAGCTTCTTATAATATATACCCACATGTGCACATGGCAGGTAGGACTAACTTTAGTTTGTGTAGGTGACTGTTCAGTCTGTCATTTCCTGTTCTGTAACTGAAGATGTAAAAGTTATAAAAAAAAAAAAAAATTAGGGCCTTTATCCACACTTTCAGGTATCTTGAGCATATAGAGCTAGACCTATATTTTATAGACCAATTGGCACTCAGTGGGTGATGTCGTCACATCATGTCAGCTGCCTTTGCTTCCTAGGACTTTGGTAGTCTAGTAGTCTGGTAGTCTTAGTTTCAGCTTCATAGTAAACGGGTCGCCCCATCTTTGCTCCGCTCCTGTGCCAACGAAAAACACTCAGAATGTTTATCAGTCCCTTGTGGAAAGATTGACAGACTGCTGTCTCAGCATATCTAGCATACACTTGCATTAAAGTATACGGTAGCCATCCGAAGTGCTAACACAAATAGTCCAACATTAGAAATGCAGTTCATCGTTGATGATAGCAGAACTTGTCACCAACAGATCAGCCGCTGCCCACGCGATCAATTGTAATCACATCGCCAACATTGCACGACAGGCATCACACCATTTTCTGAATCTACAATTCACACCACCACGTTCGTCACAGTCGAAAAATACATTCCAAATGCAATCCCCAGCTCACAGGGTCATGCCATGCATTCAACTCAGAAGCTGGGCGACGAAACTATATCCAGTCTACAAATGGAGCAAAAATACTTCGGCCACCGTCCGTCAGAAGCAACAAATTTGCCTCTGCTTCGAACAGCGCCACTGTCTAGCGTCCATTTTAACCGGAAGTCGCCCCATGTGTTCCTAGGACTTTATACCTGGTACCTACTTATGTCTGTGTCGACCTAGGAGCCAAGGTCGTTTTCATTTTTTAAAGTCCGGTTATAGCAGGAAACTGAAGATAGGGACTTTCTCAAATCAGGATCATCTGTTTTTATTGATCAGGCTAATAAGAGTTATCTTGTTGCCAGCTGATGTGTTAATAGACTTGAACCTAATAAAGTGGAATTAATTTCCTCAAAATGTATGTAAATTGTTGTCTTTAAAAAAAAAAAATCAGACAATAGGCCAGAAATTTAGTGTACATATGTAATTCAATAGGACTCACAGTATCACAACAAGGCAGATGTGGTCAAGGCCCTTTGTGGGAACAAGCAACGGAATCAGTAGAGAAACAAGATTATTATGGCCTGGAGAGAATGAGGCACCTGCCTGTAACCAGAGGGTCTGGCCGACTCTCTACACTCAGAGGAAAGGCAAGACGGACATATAACCAGATTGTGACCGGTACCATCAGGATTGGAACTCTGCGCTGGCTGCTGAAGATGAGGACGGAGCACACATGGGAATGCCCTGTGTGCTGTGATGTCAATGCTTGACAGTTTTACATCATAGCATGGGGGAATCATCTGTGTCAGAGTTGTTTGAAAGTACACAAGACAGAAGGTTGTAGATAGACATGACTACCAACGACACACGGCATAGACAGTTAGAAGAAGAATGTAATGGAACAGAGGCAGAACTGTCATAATGAACATCAAGGATCTGTTGAACTAATTTATATCACCATCTTATTGTGATATCTTGACTAAAGGGGGTAAACTTATGTTGTTGCAGGTTTCCGAGGTCTCAAGATTGATGATCAGGTTTTACTTCTGCGTGTGGCCACATACAGTCTCGTCATCCTGAACCACAGTCGAGCTTATGAACCCGAGACTGGATTTTACAACTACTTCAATTTAACCCAGAGAGAGACTCATATGATAAGTGTAGGGAAATTACTTACATCAATTTGTAGCAGTTTAGGTGCCCTAATTAGGTTGAATGGCATACTTTATGTTTGTATTCTCTATATATCATCCAGATTGAGATTCTGTAGTCTCAGGATGATAAGTTATACCTTCAGGTGGCAGCCCCAAGGGGACAAACTGATCAGTTGATCAAAAGCTATAGCACAGTAGGGTTTAGTGTATTTGCTTGCCAATAGTTGTCTTGGTTAAATCCCTGGCAGTGACAGTTATTTATTTTAGGTTTATTTTTCTTTTTCTTAAAGTTAAGCACTGACTAGCATCACAGTACTCAGGAAATTTCCATGAATGCTGCATCTCCCATTTTCAGCAGCTTCTTTTCATAGTCTGTTTCTAGTAAGTAATTTGTTTCTACCTAGGTTTTTTAAATGTCGATTCCCCATTTCTGGACTAGCAGTGCAAAGATTCCATTGCCCTTCTACTGAAATGAGTGCTTGGTGCAACACTGTGAGCTGTGGAATTCATGTGGGATGTGTTTACTGTTGTGCCCGTGGCATGTTGTTGACTGCACTAAAATGATGGCTGGTTACATTTGGAATGGCAAAGCTGGCTTTCATGATTGAGGTGTTTGCATCAACAGGGAGCTACAGTTCTAGCATGGGATCATTAGTGTTTGCACATCTGACAGCTGCGCTATGCACTGTTTGCTTTGTGTGTGCATGTTTTAAAATTTCACACCAGTTTTTCATTAGTTTTCAAATGGGACACTAAAGGACATTTTATGTGAATACCACTGGCACAGGAATGGAGCGGTGTTGGGGCAAACCATCTGCAGTATGTTGGAACATCAAGAAATTATGACCAACTGTTTGGCATTGATCATGGTACACGAGAAGATATGGATTGCACGATAGCTTTCATAAAGGCTACCGGCCTCCTGATATAAGTTTTCTGACAGAAGGAAGAAGAAGAAGAAGATCATGTGAGTTCAACAGCTTTCTGTCTCAGGCATTGCCAGCCTTTTCTTTTATAAATATTCTGCCATCTGATGATATGGAGTTGATTCAGCTTAAAATAGGCAAGACATTTCAGAATGTACTTGACCTTATTTGCAGTGGAATAGTGGCAAGGAAGAAAGCTTTCATGCACACCTGATGATACTTTTATCTAGAATACATGAAAGCCCACCAGTGACAGTATCTGTCTTTGCCTTTTTCTTTACTTAGCTGTGTATTGAAACATACTGGGAACTTCTTTTTTTGTCATATAATATTATTGCTTCCAACAAAAATATTGAAAAATCAGAAACAGGGAGGAGGAAGGGAGATGAAGCAGCATCAAGATGGGACATTACTTCTGCATGGACGGTTTAAATTGAAATGTTCGGTGAGCCCCATACTAGAGCAGCATGTATTGGCTCTTCATTTTAAGTAAGCCTCCTTTGATGACAGGGAATGCTCATGTTCTGCCCCTGCCTATTCCTTAGGCCTGACCAGCATTATGTGGCTGCTCTTGGACTGGCCTGAAAGGAGGGGAAAGGGGATGCCACCTGTGAACTAGGAAACAAGGATGACCACATAACAATGAGACTCCAATGTCCCACAAAACTGACCAGAAAGGCTAATCCGGGCAACAAGTGCATGCAGATGTCAGATATGTTGCCATAGAGCACAAAAATTGCAGCCATGCTGTAAACAGGTATGACACATTTACATCTTCTGATGAACGTAGAAGAAGATGAAGAAATGTTGAAGATTTTTTTTCTTAACTGCAATGTTTTATTCAATTGTGTGTGTGTGGGTAATGGTCTGCAGAGCTTTTTCCCAGAATTTGATGTTATCCCATGCTCACTACAAGCACATAGGGAGCCTGCTGCAGAAGCAGGGATTGACTGAGGTGGAATATGCATACATGTCCTGTATACTACTTCTCAATAATGGTATGTTGCTTGAGTTATTTCTTTAACTCATATAACTTTTAATTGGTTACGAGCATCATGGGGGCTAATATATATAAATGGCTAGGACATATTGAGAGAATGTCAGATGACAGAGAGGTAAGAACTGTATACATAAGGGAGCTGAATGGTCATAGACCACGAGGCAGAGCTTCAAGGTGATAGAGAGATAATATTCAGACAGACCTACAAACACTTGGTATCACCAACTGGAAAGTGAAGGCCAATCAGAGAGATGAATGGAGGCGGGTGATATATGCAGCAAGGAACTTTGAGAGCTTCAGAATGCTGATGAAGAAGAAGAAGAAGGTATCACTTTTAGACATTTTTAAATTTTTTTTGGAGAATGTTAGCTTATAGTTGAGACTCCAGGAGGAGAGGATAGAGGTCTCTAGCATCAGATAATTAGAGTTGTAAACTGTGCTGATTTTTTTTTAAATTGAAAAAACGTACAGAGATAATTTTATGATTATATGGATTACATAGCAATCTTATGCAGTTCTCTCCATCTCCCCCTTAACAATTTTAAGATCCTTGAATACAAGCATTAATTTTCCACAGTTGATGGCTGAAAAAAAAAATGTTTTAAGACAAAGGTATAAGAGTTGTGCCGTGGAAGAGATTAGGGCTTTACTATGTAATATCACTAGAAACAGCATTGGTACAATGTAGCCAGCCTTTCCTATAGAGGCCTGCACAGAATTAAATTTAAATATCAAGCATTGTGTTTAAAAACACATTCAGACTAGCTATGTTAACTTCATTGTCATATTCTTCAAGAGTACCCAGGACTAGAAAACACAGTGATGACACAAAAACTGAAAGAGAGATACGTGAATGCCTTTTTAGACTATGAAATTGGTATGTATTTTTTTCTTCTGAATCTTTTCCAGATCTGCCCAACAGATTATTGTTCCTTAATATTGACAATGTATATCCTGTTTTACATGTATTTTTTTTAAACAATATATATATATTGTTAGAAAGAAAGAAATTCATCAATACATAGTTCACCTTTTATGTGTGCTCTAATACAAAGACTTTAACTGAAACTTTTGGTCTGTGTGGGAGCTGCTGTGGTGTGGTGACTAAATGCTTGCCTGTGAATCCGAAGGTCATGAGTTTAGGTCCTGATGGAGCTGGAATATTTTCAGAAATGACCTCAGCTCACAGGTCAACCTAGCCTTAAATGGCTACCATGTAAAGCCCTGGAAAGTAAAGGCAGCTGGCAGGATGTTGATACCCCACCAAGAGCCGAGTGGTCTACAAAATACAGGTCTAGCCCTAAATGCCTAGTACGCCCGAAGGTACGGAAGAGGGTCCTTTACTTTCAATTTGTGTTTGTTTTTATTTGTTTAGCTTTCCAGACATGTTTTAAATTTTTGACATCAGCCTAATAGCATACACTTAGAAGAAGACATTAGCTGCTATATGAGACAAAAGAAATAAGCAAAATGTGTCATGGATTTCATACCTGACAAAACAGTTGATACCAGAGAAAATAAAATAAGAATATTAAATTATTTTCTCAGACTGTTACATCCGCAACATTATTTGCTTAATTCGGGGCAGCGTAGTGCAGTCAATAGGAGACTCACTTTCAAATCCAGCAACGATTCGCTGCAGACCTATGGCCGATGTTCGAAACCAGGCGGTTTCCGGGGTTCACCCAGCCTCTAGGAAATGGGTACCATAGTTAACACTCTGGGGTAAATGAAGGAACGTCGCTGTAAGTTACGGAGTTGCATGCGGACGGTGACACAGGCGGACAATTCTTATCAGCTGCCTGTACTGGTGGCAGAGAACTTATGGTTTTTAATCATGTGCAGTGACACTGGTTCACATCTCCCGACTTTACTTTTTATCTTTTATTTGCTGAATTATTTCAGCTAATGTCTCACTTTGGAGAAAAGAAGCAGTTCCAGCTTCATAGTGAATGGGTCACCCCATAGTTGCTCCATTCCTGTGACAACAAACACCATAAAGAATGTCCATCAGTGTCACCACATAGTTGCTCCGTTCCTGTGACAACAAACACCATAAAGAATATCCATCAGTGTCACCACATAGTTGCTCCCTTCCTGTGACAACAAACACCATAAAGAATATTCATCAGTGTCACCATATAGTTGCTCCCTTCCTGTGACAACAAACACCATAAAGAATGTCCATCAGTGTCACCACATAGTTGCTCCCTTCCTGTGACAACAAACACCATAAAGAATATCCATCAGTGTCACCACATAGTTGCTCCCTTCCTGTGACAACAAACACCATAAAGAATGTCCATCAGTGTCACCACATAGTTGCTCCATTCATGTGACAACAAACACCATAAAGAATGTCCATCAGTGTCACCACATAGTTGATCCATTCATGTGACAACAAACACCATAAAGAATATCCATCAGTGTCACCACATTTGTGACAACAAAAATCATACAGAATGTCCATCAGTGTCCTATGTGGAAAAAAAAGACACAGGTGGCAGTCTCAGCAAAACCAGTAGCATTCACACGCATTAAGAGCATTAGGCATTCATGTGAAATGCCAACACAAACAGTCCAGCACTAGAAATGCATTTCATCATAGATAGAAGCAGCAGTTACAAAAGAAATCCGTAGCTGCACATGCTTTTAATAGCATAAGGCACCACCAGTTCTCTGTCAACAGGCTACTTGCCATTTTCTAAAGCTGCAGTTTATAACACAAATCCATGCTGGGCAAAGTCAGAAAGCATTCCAATTTCAATCTGCAGCTCACAGTGCACTCAAATCAGTAGCTAGAATAGAAATGCTTGCTATTAATCAATCAGTCAATCAGGTGCCATCTCCACAAGGAAGGTTGATTGAGAGTGATCTCTAACACACTCTGTCTTTTACCCTGGATGTACACTTTCTTAGACTGATGATTGTTCATCTCTTGATGTTATACTTAGCATATGATACCATAACATCCAGCTTAAGAATGGAGGTAGAGGCAGTCACTGTAGCTTTCCACTGGATAGAGAACAAGATATACACACACACACACATCATGATTATAACAGACTCAGAAAGCATGCTGAGGACATGCTTTGCTTCAGAGAACAAATGTGAAGAGCATTGTCTGGATCGTTTCTCCGGGTTATGCTGTTGTGTTGGAAAATGAACAAGCAGTCAGACTGGCTGTGCACAACTTGGTGGAAAACTTATGCATGATAAGGCAGCAAATGTGGTCTTGATGTGAAAAAAATGTTTAGGTTTAACAGAAAAACATTGTACATGTCTTTTTAAGAATACACATAGTTACATTATCTTTAATGTTTTATCTTATTGGTACTATTTCAGAACACTTCCCAAAAGGCAGGCTTCGTTTTGCTGAAATGCTGCTGCATCTATCAGAGTTTTCCCAGCTGAACACACAGCACAGCATTGCTGTTGGACTTGTCATCACTAAAAACCCGCAGCTCCATATACCTCAGTTGTATGCAGAAATGTACACCAACAATGACTCAGTTCTAGACAGTAGTGACTCTGCTAATGGCTATGATATACCAGATGTTTGTGAACTACATGAACCTCCAGTAGTAGATATTGTTAGGTAAATACTTCAAGACGTTAAGTTATAATTTCATCATGCATGCTTTATTTTACTCTCTTCTTCTTTTTCGTATTCACCAGCTGCAGACTGTTAGTTCCTAGCCTCTCAAGTGTGCGGTAGTGACCAAGTGTGCAGTAGTGATTAACTGTGCGGTAGTGATTAACTGTGCGGTAGTGACCAAGTGTGCGGTAGTGACCACGTGTGCAGTGGTGACCAAGTGTGCGGTAGTGACCCAGTGTGCGGTAGTGACTAACTGTGCAGTAGTGACCAAGTGTGCGGTAGTGACTAACTGTGCAGTAGTGACCAAGTGTGCGGTAGTGACCATGTGTGCAGTAGTGACCAAGTGTGCGGTAGTGACCACGTGTGCAGCAGTGACCAAGTGTGCGGTAGTGACTAACTGTGCAGTAGTGACCAAGTGTGCGGTAGTGACCAAGTGTGCTCTAGTGACCAAGTGTGCGGTAGTGACCAAGTGTGCGGTAGTGACCAAGTGTGCTGTAGTGACTAACTGTGCAGTAGTGACCAAGTGTGCGGTAGTGACCAAGTGTGCTGTAGTGACCAAGTGTGCTGTAGTGACCAAGTGTGCTGTAGTGACCAAGTGTGCTGTAGTGACCAAGTGTGCGGTAGTGACCAAGTGTGCGGTAGTGACCAAGTGTGCGGTAGTGACCAAGTGTGCGGTAGTGACCAAGTGTGCGGTAGTGACCAAGTGTGCTGTAGTGACCAAGTGTGCGGTAGTGACCAAGTGTGCAGTAGTGACCAAGTGTGCGGTAGTGACCAAGTGTGCGGTAGTGACCAAGTGAGCGGTGGTGACCAAGTGTGCGGTGGTGACCAAGTGTGCGGTAGTGACCAAGTGAGCGGTGGTGACCAAGTGTGCTGTAGTGACCAAGTGTGCTGTAGTGACCAAGTGTGCTGTAGTGACCAAGTGTGCTGTAGTGACCAAGTGTGCAGTAGTGACCAAGTGTTCGGTGGTGACCAAGTGTGCGGTGGTGACCAAGTGTGCGGTGGTGACCAAGTGTGCGGTGGTGACCAAGTGTGCGGTGGTGACCAAGTGTGCAGTGGTGACCAAGTGTGCGGTGGTGACCAAGTGAGCGGTGGTGACCAAGTGTGCAGTGGTGACCAAGTGTGCAGTAGTGACCAAGTGTGCGGTAGTGACCAAGTGTGCAGTAGTGACCAAGTGTGTGGTAGTGACCACGTGTGCGGTAGTGACCACGTGTGCGGTAGTGACCAAGTGTGCGGTAGTGACCAAGTGTGAAGTGGTATTCAAGTGTGCGGTAGTGACCCAGTGTGCGGTAGTGACCCAGTGTGCAGTAGTGACCACGTGTGCGGTAGTGACCCAGTGTGCGGTAGTGACCAAGTGTACAGTAGTGACCAAGTGTGCAGTAGTGACCAAGTGTGCGGTAGTGACCAAGTGTGCAGTAGTGACCAAGTGTGCAGTAGTGACCAAGTGAGCGGTGGTGACCAAGTGTGCGGTGGTGACCAAGTGAGCGGTGGTGACCAAGTTTGCGGTAGTGACCATGTGTGCGGTAGTGACCAAGTGAGCGGTGGTGACCAAGTGTGCAGTAGTGACCAAGTGTGCAGTAGTGACCAAGTGTGCGGTAGTGACCAAGTATGCGGTTGTGACCCAGTGTGCAGTAGTGACCCAGTGTGTGGTAGTGACCAAGTGTGCAGTAGTGACCAAGTGTGCAGTAAAAGTTATTCTTTATAAAGCAGCTATATTATGTTCATAATGTGACTAATTTGTGTAAAAATACATTTATTTGAAACCACAATATCATTGTGTAAATGTGCAAGTATAATAAGTTCAAAGTGTCTGATTCATCTATATCTTTGAAATGGTTATGTAAAAAGACATTTTAAACACAGTGCCATATTTCTTATTAATGGAAACCAAAAACACACCAATGCCTTTAAAAGCTTTGTAAATTTGGCTCATACATAATTATGTAATAATTTCTGTTGAATGTTTCTTTCAGATGCTCTCAATGAGACAAATGAATGTAAACAATTGTTTTACGTATTTATTTAATATACAGATATTTATTTGGTGCCATAATGACTATTATACATGATATAGAGAAGACATAATTAAACTACTTTTGTTTGTCAGTGTGTTCTTACAGTGTATATAAATACTATATAAGTGACATCTGTTTTGGAAATCTAAAATAGTAGCATTCATCATGATGATAACCTTCATCCTATTGTGCCTTTATATACGACATAGGACCTACAGCCTAGTCCTTCATTTTGTCCTGTGCAATGCTTTTAGTATCTGCATGGAATACAGTCAACCATCTTTGACGTCTCTCATCATCATTTATTTTCGGGGTCATGTGGATTCCTTGTTTCCTCAATGCCTTTGTTCCCTATTCCAGCACCTGTTTGGTGATTCTCTGCTGGTTTTTCTCAGTACCTGCCAACATACAACGTTCCCTTTTTTCACACCTTAGGCGCATCGAGCATATGGGAAGAGCGTCCCATATTTTTACAGACCAATCGGCACTGGGTGGGTAATGTGGTCAGCATTATGCCGGCTGTCTTTACTTACCCAGGACAGCCAACGTGGTACCCATTTTAGGCTGGGTTGACCTGCTACACCCCATACCATGATAAAAATCCATGCAGCCAGCAGTGGGTTTCAATCACGGTATGTTGGAATTACGAGTCAGACTCGCAACGTATAAGCCACGGAAGCCAACATACAGCCTTAGTTAACAGATTTTTTTTAAATACCATAAAATTCTCTCAACAGCAGTCAGCACATTGTGTGTCATTGGCTTTTACCCTTGTATACCAAACATTGTATAATGTGATTTCTGATTTTTAACAGTTGGTCAGAGTTTACTAAGGAAATCTGGCTTTATCCTCTTTGAAAGTGATGCCCTCTTGATTTGTTACTTTATTATTTTTCCCTGTTTAGGCATCTGCTGCTAAACTTTCTGGATCTGACAGAAATTAATTTTAAGTATTACTTTCATATATTGCCTGAATATTTCTGTTAAGCGTTAATGTTAAAATCAAGACCATTGGCTTCATTGCACTGGGTTATTCCATATGACTCAGTCTCTCTCTCTCTCTCTCTCTCTCTCTCTCTCTCTCTCTCTCTCTCTCTCTCTCTCTATCTGTAGAACAGCTAGCAGCCTGTCAAGAGTATCACACAAAGCACAAACTCAGTAGCCCCAGAGACGATCCCACTGGATCTCAGTAAAAACTGCACTGGTGACAATGACATATCCGTGAAACAAACCCACGACCTTTAGAGCATGAGGAAAATGGCCTGATCACTTCACTGCAGAAATCTCCATCCATGCCTAGATCCACAATTCAGAACTGTTGTCTTCTTCATACCAGGTTATGAAAGCACTATGGGCAATGAAGGAACAGATAAGCTAGCTGGCACTGCCACTACATCAGAAAATCAGCTATCGATTGAGCTGAAATTATAAACACCCTTAGAGTCTGGCTGAAATGAAGACTTTGAATATGTTAATTGAAAAAATAAACTGTATGTGTGTACTGTAATTTGAATAAATAATTGTTGTTACTTTTGTGTTTTATTCACTTCACTATTATTGTTCTGTCTTCAGTAAATTTATGTTTCATTTTATTTCTGTCTGTGTACAATTTCCTTATCAACCACAATAAAATTTGAACAAAGATGTATTTGTTTAATTTTCATTTCACCAATATTTCCTGAGAAATAATATGTATTATTTTTGTGCATGAAATAATTGACAGCTATGAGGCTAAATTGGGAAATCTTGTCATGAGAAGGCAAAAACTGGCGTACGTCGTGATGGTGAGGAAGCTGGAATAAAAAACAGGCAGAGGGAGACCGATAGAGAAGACATCTGTGTCAGAATTTACTAGAAGTATACGAGACGGAAGGTTATGAATAGGCATGACTACCAACTCCACATGCCATGGACTAATTGAAGAGAGGAAGAAAAGGTTGAATTCTTCGTCTTTATCTCTCTTCTGAGGGTAGTGAGCTGTTTCTAGTCTTACACTTCATAAGTCATATGTAGTTTCTGCATGCATTTGTGTAAAGTTTACCTCACCTAGATCAGTGGTTTCCAAACTTTTTCATGTGCCTTCCTTCCCCCCCCCCGCCCCCTTTTACGTATATGGCATGTACCCCCCCCCCCCCCCCCAATCACATAACAAAATATGATTAAAAAGGAGGACAAAAAAAGAAAAATCCCAAGTACTGTTATCTAGAACTTGGAGAAAAACACTCACATAATTCAAACTGTCAAATAACAAAAACAATCACTAAGAAGCAGTTATTTAGTGTCCAAATAGCAATGTGATGGTTGACACTGTTTTGTCATGATGATGTCTGCTATTTTTGGTCTGGTGTTGGACAAGACATAGTGGAGATTACTCTCTGCATCAAGCTAGCAATGCTGTTTTGTTTTCATAACTGTTGAAGCTAAAAGTTCTGATTACTACAAGTATAAATGCACTCAGTTTCAAAATTGCTTGACACCTCTTCCCCATCCTTTGAAACTTTATCACGTAACCCTAGGGGGGTACACTTTCCAGATTGGAGAGTTGGAGACCACTGACCTACATAGATTTCTTTCAAGGTAAAAGGCTCTCTTTGCCTTTCGGTAAATTGTCTTTGCTAACAGTTTTGCCAGATTTTGGCCCGTCTACTGTTTATCTTCTTTTTCTGCATTACCCCTTAACAGGGCTGTTGGCATTTTGTGTTGTGGTTCATGGCTAAGCTGCAAAATCTACGCCTTGCGTTCCCAAAACATTCAGTCTCAGCAAACTCCTGATTAGTCACCTTTTACAAACATGATTGTTAGAGGTGGGGGTGCTTTATCAATATCTTACCCCAAACAGGGGAAAATCCACAGGTCCAGGAACAGTCTATTATAATGGTAGATAGGCTGCATGCAGTCGTGTGACCTAGGCTGCACTCACTTGTGGGACGTAGGTGGGTTGGGGTTAGGGCCAGTTCTAGATGTTTTAGGGTCGTTAAAAGCACCAAAAAGC